GATTTCTCTTGGTGAATTCGACAGAAAAGGATACGTTTTTCAAGGAGAGAAAAGTATCCTAAGAGTCATTAAGGTGTCGAAGGAAGTCTTGAGAGGCGTGAAGAAACAAGGCTTGTAGTTGAGGTTGTAAGTGGTTTGACAAATGTTGCATCCACGAAACTTATGTCGAAGACAGAATTATGGCACATGAGATTGGGTCATGTCAGCGAAAGAGGCATGGTCGAATTGGGGAAGCAGAACCTGCTAGGAGGTGACAAACTCGAAAAGTTGGAATTTTGTGAATCTTGTGTATTAGGTAAATCCTATAGGGCGAAGTTTAACAAAGGCAAGCAAAGAACACATGGATCCCTAGATTACATTCATGCTGATCTTTGGGGGCCTGCAAGGAATCCTTCACACTCAGGTGCAAGGTATTTTCTATCCATCGTTGATGACTATTCCAGAAAGCTATGGGTATTCATTAAGAAGACGAAGGATGAAACATTTGAGAATTTCAAAAGTTGGAAGATTTTGGTTGAAACTCAAACTGGCAGAAAGGTTAAGAGGTTGAGAACCGACAATGGCCTTGAATTCTGCAACGAAGCATTCAACAATTACTGTGTTGAGTCTGGGATTGCAAGGCATAAGACTGTAGTAAGTACTCCTCAATAAAATGGCTTAGCTGATATATTCAATCGAACAATCCTTGAAAGGGTCAGATGCATGTTGGTTAGTGCTGGATTGAAGAAGGTGTTTTGGGCGGAAGCTGTTTCGACAGCAGCTTACCTGATAAATAGATGTCCCTCGACTGCCTTGGGAATGAAGACACCTGAAGAAGTTTGATCGGGACATCCACCTAGTCTCGACAGACTGAGAGTATTTGGTTGTGTGGCCTATGCTCATATTAGGCAAGATAAGGTCGAACCTAGAGCTCTGAAGTGCATGTTCATGGGATACCCTGAAGGAGTCAAAGCTTATAGGTTATGGTGCCTAGAGCCAGGTCACAGGAGGTGTATCACCAGTCGAGATGTAGTTTTAAATGAAGCAGAGATGGCTTTCAAGAAAACTGATGATGCTGACGAAGAGCTGGAATAGGGAGAGATTCCTGTTGAGGTGGAGCATGTTGATGCTGAATTGCTTACCCCAGATGAAGTCGAAGAAGACGCAGAAGATGTTGTCGAAGATGAGGAGATTGATAATGACTACCTGCTAGCAAGAGACAGATCGAGGAGAGTCATCAAGCCACCTCAGAGACTTGGGTATGCAGATCTTATAGCTTATGCCTTAATCTCTGCTAGTGAGGTTCTAGATGAAGAACCTAGAGACTATAAGGAAGTTATGAGGATTCGAAAGAAGACTGAATGGCTGAAGGCCATGGATGATGAGATGAAATCTCTTCATGATAATAACACCTGAGAACTGATCAAGAAACCTGCTGGATCCAGGTTAGTCAGCTGTAAATGGATTTTCAAAGTTAAGGAAGGAATCAAAGGAGTGACGTCGAAAAGATACAAGGCAAGATGGTTGCTAGGGGGTTCACTCAGAAAGAAGGTATCGACTTCAATGATGTGTTCTCTCCTGTTGTGAAGCACATATCCATTCGAATGTTGCTTGCCATGGTGGCCCAGTTCGACCTTGAACTGGAACAGATGGATGTGAAGACTGCGTTCTTGTATGGTGATCTAGATGAAACAATCCTGATGAGGCAACCTGAAGGGCATGTCGAAAGGGGGAAGGAAGATTATGTGTGCAAACGGAATAGATCTTTATATGGACTGAAACAATCTCCTCAACAGTGGAATAGGAGATTCGACAAGTTCATGGCACACATAAGTTTCATCAGAAGCCAGTTCGACCACTGTGTTTACTTCAGATTTCGACCGGGTAATTCATTTGTTATTTTGTTGCTCTATGTGAATGATATTCTAATAGCAAACAACAATGTCGGAGAGGTAATGAGGGTGAAGGTTGAACTCAATAAAGAGTTCGACATGAAGGATTTGGGAGCTGCGTCCAGGATTCTTGGGATTGACATCCGGAGAGAAAGAAAGCAGTCGAAATTATGCTTATCTCAAGAGGCATACCTACAGAAGATTCTCGAAAAGTTTGGTATGTCGAATTCAAAGCCTGTTGTGACTCCGACAAACCCTCAATTTAAGCTGAGTATAGATCAGTGTCCCAACACTGATGTTGAAAGAACTTATATGAATAGCATTCCATATGCTAACATAGTAGGTTCTTTGATATATGCTATGGTCTGTACTAGACCCGACATAGCATATGCAGTAAGTCTTGTAAGCAGGTACATGGCGAATCCTGGAAAGGCTCACTGGCAAGCATTAAAGTGGATTTTAAGGTACATAAATGGGTCACTAAATAGAGTCCTTATTTATGGTGGAACCTTGGGTGAAGATAGTAAAGCAGCAATCGAAGGATATGTCGACTCTGATTATGCAGGTTGTATGGATTCCAGAAAATCTATCTCTGAATATGTGTTCACTATGTTTGAGACAACAATCAGTTGGAAAGCAACACTTCAGAAGGTCGTTGTCTTATCAACCACTGAAGCGGAGTATATTGCCCTAAGTGAAGTTGTGAAGGAAGCATTGTTGTTTGAAGGTTTTGCAAAGGAGATAAAACTTCAAGGTCGAGTTATCACTGTTAAATGTGATAGTCAAAGTGCAATACACCTGTCGAAGAATTCAGCCTATCATGAGCGAACCAAACACATTGATGTGAGGCTGCATTTCATCAGAGGGGTAATCGAGCGTAGAGAAGTCCAAGTGCTGAAGGTTTCGATAAATCATAATGCTGCTGATATGATCACCAAGACGTTGTCCAGTTGCAAGATTTTCCACTGTATGCAGTTAATAAAGCTGCATGAAGAAAGATAATTTCTTGATGTTATAGAGTTAGACCCAAGGTGGAGATTTGTAAGATGTTTGATCACGAAGCTAACTCCCTTGCGGATCAACTAACTAAGTCGGCATTGGTCCGTTCTATCTAAGATGAATTTATGAGTATTGTTAATTATCAATTTAAGATTATTGATCGCAAAACTAACTCCCTTGCGGATGAGCTAGCTAAAGCCAATTTCAATTCAAAATATTTGGATTGTCCTTTAGACTATTGTTCAACCTTCTTATTTGGACTTGTCCAGCCAGAAGTTGTTAGTATTGGACTATTGATTAGTGTTGTTGGTTGGACTTCGACCCTTTTTTTTATAATAATAATATGAATAATTAAAGTTAAATACTTTCAGTGGTCTAAAGCAGTTTTTAATCAAAAACGGACATTTTACCTATAATTAAGATGATTACTATGGATAATTAAGATGAAACATTTTACTGTGACTTTAAAAATTATTAATAAGTATTTTCACTTTCAGTTTTTTTATATTATAAAAAATAAAATATGATAAGATTTATACTTTTGGTAATACATATGTTTTATTTTATTCAATTAAAAAATGATGTTTTTATTTAGTTAAAGGTGAAAGGGATGATTATGGATATTATATCAAAATTTATCTCAAAAAAAATATTAAAATTAAAAATTACTAAAAATATATTTATTTAAAAAATTTATATAATTTATAGTATAATAAAATAATAATTTAATGGCCGGTGTATATATTTTTTTAACAAAATTATAAATAAAGTATAAAATTGAAGAATGAAATATTAACATTAAAAATCCGAATTTTCTTTTATTTATAATTATAAGGAAATTCAGATTTATCAGTATAAAGTTATAATTATAAATTATGTAAATTATATAACTGTTGAATATCTTTTTTAAATAAATGTTTTTTCTAAAATATTTTAATATTCTTATGTGATTAATTTTCTTATATTATCTATAATTATTCCTCCTACTTTGACCGAATTAAAAACATAATAATAATTTGAATAAAATAAATCATATACTAAGTATTTCATATAATTTTATAACTGTAAAAATAATTAATATGAAATATTTTAAAAACAATACCTTATTAATAATTTTATTTTTATCGTATTACTTATTTTTTATTTTGAAAATGATTAAAATATTTCATATACCAAGTATTTTATGATTTTATAACTTAAAAAATAATTAATATGAAATATTATAAAGACAATACCTTATAAATAATTTTATTCTTATCGTACTATTTATTTTTTATTTGGAAAATGAATAAAATATTTCATATACCAAGTATTTCATATAACTTTATAAATTAAGAAATAGTTAATATGAAATATTTTAAAAGCAATACCTTATTAATAATTTTATTCTTATCGTATTTTTTATTTTTTATTTGGAAAATGTATAAAATATTTCATATGCCAAGTATTTCATATAATTTTATAACTTAAAAAATAATTAATATTAGATCATTTAAAAACACTACCTCATTAATACTTTTATTTTATTGTGTTATTTATTCTTTATAATATAAAAACAAAAAATATATATATTTATTATTTTATTTTATTATATAATTTTATTCCATAATTTAAAATTTTTTTAATTGAAAAATAAAATTTTTTATTTTATTTTTGTAAATTCATTTTTATATTATCCATAAATATCCTCTTTCCTTTGACTGAATTAAAATATTATTAATTAATTGAATAAAATAAATTATTTTTATTACCAAAAACATAAATCTTATCTTGTTTTCATTTTTTATAATATAAAAAAACTCAAAATGGAAAAAGTTTTTAAAATATATAATTATAATTTTAAATACCAAATTTACCCTTCTTCTCTTATACGAAACCCCAAGAGCAGCTGCTATATAAGTATTTCCTGACACGTTGAAATCAATTCAAGCAAGAGGTCCTAAACTAAACTTTCTCTCTTTCTTTTTGTAAAATAAGTGTAAGAAAAATAAAAACTCTTTTTTGTCAGATTAAAAATCGCTGTTTCGGGGCGTGTTTTTTTTGTTTGGGAAGAGTTTATTCATTTTCACTTCTCAAAACAAAAAAAACTAAACCTTCTTTTCTCTTTCAGTTTTTTCTGTGACAGCATCGATGGCTCCGGTGAGAGCCACACCCTGCGTCGATCGAAGCCCGGTCCCGGGACTGATTCCTCCTGCGGCACCGGAAATCCGTTACCGCGGCGTTCGAAAGCGGCCATGGGGCCGATACGCGGCGGAGATAAGAGATCCGTGGAAGAAAGCTCGTGTCTGGTTAGGCACTTTTGATTCGGCAATTCAAGCGGCCCGGGCTTACGACGCAGCTGCAATATCCTTATGCGGCGCCAAAGCCAAGACCAATTTCCCTCTCCCTCCGGAGGCTCTTGCTACTCTGCTTCCTCCTCCTCCACCTCCGATTAATCGTGGGCCTAAACTCAGGCATACGGAAGACGACATGGTTTTCGTTAATTATCCTACTTCAAGCGGTATGAGTAGTACCGTTGAATCGTCCAGTGGACCTAGGGCTGGTTCTTCTTCAACCTCTAGGGTTCATGTGTTTCTTCCTGTTAATGATGAGGCTTGTCACAGTGATTGTGATTCTTCTTCATCTGTGGTTGATGATGATGAAGATTGTGTTGTCGTTTGTTCATCGGTTCGCAAGCCTCAGCCTCGAGATATCGATCTCAATTTGCCTGCTCCGATGAACTATAGTGATGAAGAGATACGCGCCACCGACCTGCATCTCTGACTTGATTCCGTCCGTCTGTCCGCCGCTTATTCTGGTGCTGTAACTTATGTCAATTAATGTTCGACAGTTTAGTTGTTCTTTGTTTTGAATATATAGAGAGATGTTAATTTAAATCAAAATTAAAAAACATAAAAAAGAAAAAAATTATAATGGATGGATAGTAGTCATCTATAGATTTTTTTTTAAATAATATTTTTTTTAAATTACCAAAATAACTAAAATAACCAATAATTCAAATTCATTACAATAGTAACTATTTTTAAGAAGGGAGAAAGAGAAGTAGTCATTGTGATTAGTGTATATACTAAATGTTAACATATATGCGCCATTAACAATGGTTTATGCTTGTATGTGTCACCATTTGCATTGGCGCATACATTTATGCATTAGGTGCATATGTTATTTGTAATGGTGCATTATTTTTTTTAATTTTTAATATTTTTTAATTAGAATAAATACAAATATAAAAGAAAATTAAAAGTAATTTATACTATTATTACATAAAATTCAAGGTTACAACAATTGAATTGAAAATCAATGACCCGCCTAATTGAAATGTCTCCCTGTTCCATATCTTAACGCATTAGTCTTCCTTCGAGATCTTCCACTGTTCCATATCTTGACGCATTAGTCTTCCTTCGAGATCTTCCACGATTTTTTTAAGGTGTTTGGGATCTTTGAGTATTTAGGAAAATCCATTGTCACTATAGTTTTTTTTCCAGAAATTCTAGTTTTCATCATACGATCTCCACCCTCTCACCCCTAAACCTTCATACACGTCTCTAAATAATTCTTTCACAAAATCCATTTATTCAAAAACGAATTTGATAGTGATTCATATTAGCAAAATCATTAACATAAACAACACTTATTTCATCACAACCATATCAATTTCATTAATAATTATTAACAGCAAGTTTTCACATCCTCATCAATGGAAGAACCTCATAGATACATATTCATGATCATTCAAACATGGATTCAATCATAACAACACATATAAACACAAGATCAATCAACCAATTTCCATAATTTCATCATATAACAAATCATCAAAAGAAAACCTAGAACCCTAATGAGATTAAGGACTTCTCATCTCTATCCCCATCATGCAATACACCTAAATTGATAGTCATTTCTCCCCACTTGCCTTAGATTTTCCAACAAGATGATGAATCAAGAAACTTTTATGGTTTCTCTCTTTAAAACCCTAGATTTTGCTTTTCTCCCTTTCAAAGCTCTTTCTCTCATTTTGCCTCTTTTCTCAAATTACACGTACTGATAAAAACTAGGCTATTTTTCTCTTACTTCAAATATATCTTTAGGTATCTCTACACAATTCTTTCTAATTGCCTCATTAACCCTCAGTTTTCTTGATTAACATTATTGCCCCAACTCTCTAACTCCTTACTCCCCTTTATTTCTCCAAATTCTCCATATTGAATCAATTCTATCATTTTACTATTTTATTTAATTAATCATAATAAAATACTATTTATTCTAATAATTAATTAAAATTCTAATTAATTCTAAACAATTTATCAAACACTTACTCTCTTTATACCTCTAGCTCAAGATACTTAACCTCAACCACACAACAAATAATTAAAATACCAATTAATCAAATAAAATTCTAAATAATTCAATTAAATTAATTAATCGAATTTGGGGTGTTACACCACCAATATGTGCATTCTGCGCATGAGTGGCAGAGTCCACCCCCTTGAAAATGCCCACGAGTTTTAGGTTCTCAATTTCAACTAATGAAGAGGACTCATCATTATCAAGTCTAAGAACCACATTTATAGATACATTTCTCGAGTTCGCCATAATAGTACATAGAAGGAAGATGAAGACGCACCTTAAGAAGCGAAAAGACACGAGAAAAAGAATGACATGTTGAGAAGATATGTCGAATGGAAAAAGTTTATGGAACTTACAAACATAAGAATGACATGTTGAGAACACACACACACGCACGCACACACGCGCACGCGGGCACACACACACACACCCACGCACATACGCGTGCGCGCGCACCCCCCATACACACATGCACACGCACGCACACACACGCACGCACCCATGCACGCACGCACACACTCATACACGCACACGCGCGCGCGCGTGCCCCGCACACACACACACAATTTTGTATAAGTACATTCAACTTTTGAGTTTATTTCATTTCTAATTTAATATTTTATGCAATATTTTATGCAACATACTCCATGTAGCTTGATACTTTTTTTTATTGAAATGTATTTTGCTTCAATTACATTTAACTTGTTAAATTATATTTTATTTTATAGGTAGTATCTTGTGCTACATGTTTGTTATATCTCAATATATTTTAATTGAGCCACATCATTTAAATTTAAACTAAATTATTGTGTATATTTTGGTCTTAGATCACAACTCAAATTCGAATTCATTGTTATACGTATCTTATGATTTATAATAAGATTTCGAAAATATATCCTTAATTAGATTTTGAATATGGATTCCCGATTTAATTTTTTGATTAATGTTTAGATATAAAATATATTTTTGCAAAATCTTGTTTGTTGAATAACTTTGGAGCATGGTGATTTCTTTAGACATCATAATGGTAAGTGAATAATTTTAAAGATATAATATTAGATTTGATAATATAGTAAAACTTTTGTTCATCGCTACTCTCTCTCAAATGAACAAATTTTAATTGAATAGGATTAGGGTACACACTCTAAAAATCAAGTGTAAAAGAATGAAAGTGATCCTATATTTAGTGGTTTAACAAATGCTGATTATTTCATGTACAAATACCTCGGCATTTGATTTAAATGTTTTAGAATATTCTTGCATAACCTTCATTCTCTTTTAATAATATAAGACATATATTTTTCATCTAAAATATATGTGTTGGAGCCAAACTATCTTGTTTATATAAATGGGTATAATCTACTTAGTACTAAACTAAATAGATACTAAGTGTCGCTACTGCGAAAATCGGCGCCGGCTGAACAGAAGAGTCGCCACCGTGCGTTATTTATCCCACGGGAGGGAAAGGAAACGCTCAGAGTAAACCTCGCACAACACGGGAAAGGTATGGTCATCGCAACCAAAACCTGGGTTCGGGAGTCGGTTACGCAAGGGGAAGGTATTAGCACCCCTCACGTCCGTCGTACTCGACGGGATCCACGCTTGTTTTCGGGTATGGATTGTTATTCTATCTAAACTATAGGTCAAGGGTTAAGAAGAAAAGAGAATGAAAATAAAATGAAAATAAAAATGACTCGGCAAAGTATCGCACTTTATGCCTACGTATTCCCGTCTGGAACGAGAAATCAGAGTCAACGTAGTTCGCCTACCTACGGGAAAGGAGGGGAAGGTTGCTCGCTAGGATATCGCATCCTATGCCTACGTACTTCCACACAGCATGGAAGATCAGAGCAAACGTAGTTCGGGCCACGTACGACACAAGTCTGTCTTGGTTGATTTTATTCCTTCTGAAAAAGGTTTTCCTGATTAGCAGTCCAAGCGGACAAAAATGACGTCTTGATGAGTTCACATTCTTTTACGGAAGAAGTGTCTTTTATTGTGTTTGAAATCTTTATGTGTTTTTTCTGTTTGTTTTGAGAAAGAAAGAGACAGAACTCTAACCTACGGTTGCAAAGGGAAACAAACTAACCTAATGTTATCATGCATGGGTTAAGACCTAGTGTCTATCATGCTCCTCTCTTGCACAGAGAGAAACAGAGATCCTAAGGGATAGGCAGAAACAGAAACAATATCAGATATATACAGTAAAACAGTAAAATGCATGGATGCAACAGTACAAGCGAGGCAAGGGAGTCCCACTCAACCTCGAACCTAGAAAACAATAGGCGAAAGTGAACAGACTTCACTTTCAACCCAACAGGGTAAACAGCAAACAATACAGTCCAGAAAACCAATCAATACATCAGCAAATGAAATACAGCAAAAGAATAAACAGCTTCAGCAGCTCTGAATCAGCATCTGGCTTCAAGCAATCTCCAATCAGTTACAGGCTTCAACAAGCATCAATCTCCATCTTCATGACCTTCAGACAAGGGCTTTGACATCAATCTTCAGTCTACAATGGCTTTTCTTCCAGCTCAAACCTCCAGGATGAGGGATTAGTCACAAGAGTGAATTGGGTGTTAAGCAATCAGCTGACTACCAAAGGTGGTGAACAGACTGCTTCTAACACAAGAGACAGTTTCTCTCAAGAGTTCTATCTCATAGACACTATCACCAAGCCTTCCAAAGGAAGGGGGTGAGTGTCTTAGAGAGACTCTGAATCACAGAGAAGAATGGATGCAGACAAGGCAATCCATGTTTGAGAAACAATCATTCTAATCTAGAGCTCTGCCTAGCTCCTAAACCCTAATCTCCTCAGCATCTGCTAGCAAGAAACTCATCCTCAACTCTGACAGTTGATCTTCAGTCTTTGGATCTCCAATGGCTTCATCTCCACAAATCTTCAGCTTCCCCAGGGCCCCAGACAAACCCAATACCCAATCAAACAATCAACAATCCCCAGAGGGCACACCACACCAGACAGCAGATATACAGATAGTAATAATATCAGTAGGGGAATCCTAACTGTTCTCTAAGGGATCTAATAGTTACCCATAGCCCCTATAGTCCCCTAACTAATCTATTCAAACCCTAAGTCCTAAGGGAAATGAAATCAAACTCCTAAGTTGTCACCTAAAAACCCTAGTTTCATTCATGATATTCAAGCATTTATTAATCACCTGAAATTAGCCTCTAAAAATGGGAACTAAAATATTCCTACAAGTTTAACATCTCATTTAAACAATATGAAAAGAATGATCAAAAAATATCAAAGCATGTGAGAGAACAAAAATCATAAAAATAATGCATGAAATGGATCTATTTAATATGCTATTTATTTAGAAAATATGAAAAAAATATGAAATAAAACTAAAAATGAAATTTTATTTTCCTATAATATTCTAGACATTTTA